ACATTCTCTGGTTTTCTTAATTTCATGCTTTTTTCCATTATTTCATTCTTTATTTTCTTTATCACAATAAATAAACCCTTAATTATGATTAAAAATAATTACGAACTACAAAGGCTTAGTTCGGTTCTAAAAAGATGAGATTTTTTGCTTTAAATATTCAATATATATATTTTTTTAATTATCACAAACTTGGTTATTATCTCTCTTATTTACACTATACCAAAGTTGCCACATAGTTTTGTTTTCAAACATTGATTATGATCACTTTATCTTAGTTTATTATATATACATGTTTTGTTCCCAATTTTAATTTCTAATATTGAATCATATTCAACGATTCTTAGTCTTAGATCAATAAATTTCAAGACTACATTATTTTTAATATGATTAGCATTGATTTGAGATAGAATAAACAACACACTGAATCTATCTTTTTTCTTAGTTTCATATTTAAACTATTAAGAGTGTCAATCTCACATTTAAACTAATGAGAGTGTTAGTTTCATACCTAAACTATCATTTATTTTTTGAAAAACACACGTCTCTTTTTTACTACACTCTTATCATGGTGTGTGTACTATTTCTTTTTTTTTAAAAAAAAATTATCACGTCATATTGCACATGGACCAAATATTTCACCTGAACAAAAATTAAATAAACTAGTAATATTAGTTAAAGTTAAAAACTAATCCTCCTCATTTTTCAATTTTTTTTAATTAAAACATCACACCCCACACAATCCTCCTCGGTTTTCAATTTTTTCTCGTTTTGTATATATACTAAAAAAATTTACTTGCTCAAGACTTTCTTAAAATAAAATTTTTATTTTGTTATATTTGATATGCAGATAGAAAAGAATTCTTAAGAATATGTGTAAACATCTAAGATAAAATGAGAAAAATGTAAAAAATAAATAAATTGAAAGCAGAGGACTAAACAAAGGTGAAGGAGGGCGCCTAGGTATGTTATAGAAAGGGAAGGCGGAAGCATCGAATGGCGAAGAGAGGCGGCTCGGCAGGAAAGGAATGAGAAATTGTCAAGAATGACTTCTTTGTTGGCGAAAAGCCTAAGCCTAGAAGAGAAATAGGCAGGACTTTCAGTTACAATGTTAGAAAGCAAGCTCAGTAGGCCCTGCCTTAACCTGTCCTCAGACAGCCAGCGCTCACTAGACTGCTGGCATTGCTAAATGCTTCGCCACGAAGCAAGGGATAGATTTTTATTTTTTTAACAATATCAAAATATAATATTTCATAGAATGAATTTTAAAAAATAAAAGAACGGGGTTTTGTGGGGGGGGGGGGGGGATTACTAAGTGGGGTGAGAAAAACAATTTTTAAATTTTATTTTTTAAAAAATAATTATTTTAAAAAAAAATTAGATAATAATACTTCACTCTTTAGTTTTTAACTAATATAAATAATTTATTTATTTTTTATCGTGGTAGAATGTTTTCTCACATACTCAATAATTTAAACATAAAATTTAAATAAAATTAAATTGTTTAGACGTGTTTTTGATAATTAACAAAAATTATACTTGATTCCCTAATAAAAGTTGTTCTAATAAGGGAAAATTACATGGGATGGCAAACATTCATAACTAATTATATTATAGGGGTATAGTTTAATTTATTTACCTTATATAATTATAGTTTATTTTTGTTTGCTATATTTAATGGGTCTACAACCTATTATATAACCAATGGTATAAAAACATTATTTTTTAATTTTGTATATAATTATACACAAAACAATTTTCTCTCTCCTTTTCACATTCCAAATTTTTCTCCTACATTTAATACTCCAGCTATCCAGTTTGAAATTCAAATTGTTGTCCAAAATTAGATTATTCCCTCCCGAAGTTGAAGTCAATTTCGTAAGTACTCCTTAATTTTAGTTGTTTGCTCTTC